ACTATCTCTACAGCAGCATTACAGGTCCTTCCGGGATTACCTCCGTTGGACCTTGTAGTACAGAGAGAATCAACTCTGTGCGGTGTCTTGCCTCTTGGGCAGAATCGGACCCTGTGAAATCAAGAGTATTTTGCAGCAAACTTTGAATCAAAAATCTCGTCACCTGCTTTTCACCCCTCAGCCATGGACCTTCGGAATCATATAACTTATCAAGTAGCCAGTATAGTTACCGATCACTTTTCAATATTCACAGATGGGCCCAGTATGGATACAGGGACGGGCAGTGGATTCTGCATTTTAAAGGACAACAATACTCAACGCCGATGGCGAAGACGACTGAATAAAAATAATTCTGTGTTTCAGGTGGAATTACTTGCCATATTAAAAGCAATTAATCTTACACAACGACTCCCGAGTCCTGCGTTTATCTACAGTGATTCTCTCTCTGGTCTTAAAGCAATTGCAGGATTTAGAAGCTGAAGCCCAATGGTGCATAATATACAGAATGTTACTTAATTTTGACTCCACAACTCGACCAATACTTTGCTGGGTGCCTGCACATATAGGCATTTTCGGAAATGAACTTGTTGATGCTACGGCTAAGAAGGTGGCAATGGGCACGAACCTGCCCGAATTCTCTCTTCCACTTCCGGGCTCATATCTCAAGAAATTAACTCAATAATGGCAGCTCAGGTGGAATACTGCTAACACAGGTAGAAGAACGCATAAATTTGTCTCAAAGGTCTCAACCAACTTACTTTCCAGCTCCTTGGCACTCACAACATTTTTAACAGGGGCATGGACCATTTTTAACTTATCTCTTCAGATTTGGCCTTTCTAACAATGAGCAATGCAAGTCTGGAGCGACAGGAAGTCCTGATCATTACGTTTTCAACTGCCCCTTGACGTCAGCTTTCCATTTAAACAGACCAGCTGACACGTTCTGTAAGTAATGGACCAACAATTTAGTAAGACAACCAATAGCATTAAAAAAGTTGACCAACATCATACACTGGTGTTCCGAAAATGTTTCATTTTTTAGAATTCCACAACTTTAAGAATTAAGATTTACTCAGATCATTTCTTATGACTAAATAGTAGAATCTTAAACTAAACAGATCTCCTCAACATTTCCATATTGACTTCTACTTATCCCATAGAATGCATTTCCTTTGAGAAACTCTTTGAACTCTGGGGGATAGACATGCCAAAGCGTAATCATATGCACAGTGTATCTATTTACAGGCAAGAACCTATTTGATTCCAAAACTTTGAATATCATTACAATCATAATATGTGAACTGATACGGTTCAAAACCTTATACCTCGCAAGGTTGCTTTATAAATGCTGGCAAAATTGTCACCTCTATAAGTGCATCCTCCTCTCCAACTTTTATTTAATTCTTCATAGTGTTAGTCTTATGTTATATTTCACATATGCCTTTCTGATGATGCTTCACATTGATGAAAATGGCATTATAATTTATGGCACAATACAAAGTTCTTTCGTAAATTACTCCAAAAAACTATGTTCCTACAGAAACTTTTGCATACCCATATAATAGCGAACTGCATATGTCACAGTGCACTACTTACACAACTTATCTATGTTAACTATATAATCCGTGTTATTATAACAACATTTAATTCTTAAGGTTGCAAGCTATTATGCTGATAAGTATTGATTTTCATTCTTGGTGTACTAATGGTAGAAATCTATATTTATTCCCTGAAAATATTACTGTGTATTAGTAATAGCGTATAAAGATTTTTATAACAGCATTTCTTATATGTAACAGAATTCGAGAATTCGTAATCTAAGTATCAAATATACGGTATATCATTGGTTTGTAACTGAATTCATAATGTTGTAACATATATAATGCCGAAGGTTGAAGTTGTAACCGGATTTAGCTTGACCTTTGTTTAAGTAATTTTTAAATCACAGGATTTTGTAACCTTAACTTTGCACTAGATCAAGATCATTTTTACTTTGTTTCTTCTTCACAACTGTTTATTTTTCTACTGTATTAAGCATATAATATCTGAAAGTTTTTTTCTAGCTGCTTCAAGCAAAGATGATAATGTAATTATTTTTGGATTGTGACTCTGTAACTCGAGTATTTTAAATTAATGCCTGTCTGATTTGCCTTGGCCAACTAAGGCTGTGGTGGAGCTTGCAGTACACTTCCACTGATCAGGCACTATTCCGCTTCGTAATCTTATAGATAATCTTAGGTCGGAAGCCTGCTGAGTGGTGCTATATGCTATATATATGGAAGATACATTCACTCTTAACCCCACTCCGTACGACAATAACCATATTCAACGGGTCAGCCTGGCGGTCAATAACTTCCTTAATAACCCTGCTCCATACAACTTCACTTTCCTGACTACCCCAACAATCGTAGCCAACATCATCAGCTCTTTACAGACGAAGAAAGCCCCAGGACACGATGGCATCTCGACCAAAGCACTGAAACATCTTCCGATCGCTCTTACCTGCCTAAGATAATCAACAACATTATCAAAATCGTTCATTTTCCTAGCTCATGGAAGGAAGCTACAATAATTGTTTTTGCTAAACCGCAGCAAAATCCCACCTTCCCACAGACTATCGCCCTATCAGTTTACTTATCCATCTTTCTAAAGTTACTGAGAAAATTCTACTTTTCCACATCCAAAGAATTCACCCTTCCATGAATTTTCTCCCAGAAGAACAATTTGGTTTTCGCAATCATCATAGCACTTGCCACCAACTTCTTAGAGTTATCAACAATATCACTGAAGGTTATAACTGCAACGGTGCCATATTCCTCGATATCGCGAAAGCTTTTGACAGGGTATGGCATCGCGGCCTTCTTTAGAAACTAATCACTCTCAATTTTCCAGATAATTTTATTCGCTTAATAGCCTCTTTTCTCAGCAACAGAACATTCAGAATCAACATCGCTACTGCTTAACCACCAGAGTAATTAAAGCTGGTGTCCCACAGTGGTCGGCACTTTCGCCGTACCTTTTTAATATTTATACACAAGACATCCCTAAAGACCTTTCTGTTCATCTTGCAATTTTTGCCGATGACACCGCCATACGTACTAAAGCCTGCAGAACAATCGCCATAAGAAACCAACTCCAAAACTATCTCATAAAACTGGAAAAATGGCTCAACCTTTGTAAGATTAAACGTAACCAAGGCAATAATTTAACGCTGAAAAAACCAAGGCATTAACGCTGAAAAAACCAAGGCATTAACGCTGAAAAAAACCAAGGCAATAATTTTCCGTAAGGGAAACATAAAATACTATCCTCCATCTCCTGAAATATTTGACGAAGGAATAGACTGGATTGATGAAACCAAATACCTTGGAGTCACCCTTGATAAAAAAAAAAACTTACGTTCAGAACCCACTTCCGCTCCGTAATACAAAAATTTAAAATCATCACAGCTACTATGCGACCTCTTCTTGTTAGACAAAGCAACTTATCTACTGCAAACAAATTGATTTTATATCGCTCCATACATCGTCCAGCCTCCTTTATGCAGCTCCGATCTGGGGACATGCAGGTAAAACCAATATTAAACAATTACAAATTATGTAAAATAAAATTTTAAGAGAAATTATCAATGCTCCTTGGTATATTCCAAACATCTACATTCACAGCATTCAAATCGAACTTATTCTAGAGTACATTAAACGATTAGCGGTGAACTTCTTTTATTCAGTACAAACTCACAGTAATAGCCTTATTAGCACTCTCAAACACTCCCCGCATCCCGGTGAAAAACATCGGTACCCATTTGGCATCCTACCCACATAATAATTACAACCTTAATTGACTCATTCACGACTAACTGACTCTGCGGTCTGTCACCCGCTGCTACATCTTGTAACGAAACTGAACTCATCCTTCCCCTTTTCGCCGCCGCTAGCGCGGACCTGACTCTCTTTTCCCCCCTCTCACACCTCCTACCACACTACTCCTCTTCCTTCTCCTCCCAGTATCTTATCAGAAGTCGAGTAAAAAGATGTTTCTACATCTTGACACTAGAGAATAAAATACGATCTGTGTATGTACAAAATAGCTTCGCTTGTTATGCGAGGATGCTGGGGTTGGCGAGATATTACTCATAGTATCACGCAGACATTGAAGGATCGATGCCTGGAGTAGATGCTCGATGAAAGAATTCACCTGGCAGGCGAAGGGTTGCCCCATACAACATTTCAGCACAAGTACTACCAATGTCTTCTTTGAATGTTGTACGAAAACCAAGCAAGACTAGGGGTAATGCTTCTGTCCAATATGTGCTATTGTGATATTTCAGATCTTGTTTTAGAGGTCGGTGAAATCGTTCCACCATCCCATTTCCAGATGGATGGTATAGTATTGTTCGGATATGGCGAATGCCATGAAGAGATGTGAGGGATGAGAATAAGTGAGATTGAAATTGTCGACCTTGATCAGTAGTGATGGTAGCAGGCATGCCAAATCTTGAAACCCACTGGGAGAGGAACGCTCGAGCTACAGTTTCAGCAGATATACAGGGTGATCTTTTTTTAAAGTGACAGTGTTTGGATCACCCTGTAGCACGATCTAATAACCGAAATGGCACCAAACTTGGTATTTAGACTAATCAAGACATGGGAACAAGGATTCCGTGAAAAAACATTTAGTTCCAAAAATCGCCGCTGAGACATATTGTGGCGCTGTTGTAGCTTACAATAACGAGAATTAGCATAAAACATGGGTATCAAAGAAAAATGCAAATGTTGCGCGATGACAGCGCCAGTAATAGGGCTATAAAAGCAAGTAGTAGACAGCAATAATCTCAGCTGAAGTAAACGAGCTCCAATGGACATGCCTCTCACGTTACCGGAACGTGCGTTACTGGTGAAGCTGTATTACATGAATCAATGTAATGCATCTGCAGCTCTTCGGAAATTTCGAACCAAAAAAAATTACGAAAGGAACCTTTATCGCTGAATGGGCTTAAGGAAATGATTAAGAAGTTCGAGGAAACGGGGTCACTGACCATTCGCCCTGGAAGAGGACGTAAACTAGTATCAGAAGATGTAATAACTGATGTGGTAACTGCAATTGTCGAAGGATCGCAGGGAACCATAGCTGGTACTAGCAGCGCCCGGGGTGTAGCTCGACAATTCGACATGAATTATTCGGCGGTATGGAGAGTTTTGCGGCGTCTTATTGGATTTTACCCCTACAAAATCAGCCGCTTGCACGGACTGAAACCAAATGATTATGATAAGCGAGTGACATTCGCTCTATCGTTTCTTGCCAGGGTAGAAATTGATGATGCTTTCCCATGGCACATTCTGTCGGGAGATGAATGCGATTTTTATCTCAATGGGTACTTAAACACACAAAATAGCCGAATTTGGGCTTCTGAGCAGCCCCACACCGTGCACGAAATCCCGTTAAATTCCCCAAAAGTCACTGTTTGGTGTGGTTTCACAGCCTAATTCGTAATTGGGCCATTTTTTTGAGACCATCACTCCGACAGGACGCCAAACGTGCACCATAAATGCAGAAAGGTACCACGAAATGCTGCAAACGTTTGTTATTCCGCAACTTCAGCAAAGAAACCGTCTCCAACAGACAATCTTTATACAGGATGGTGCTCCGCCACACATTAGTAATAAGGTAAAGCAGCTGTTGCGCCAAACTTCACTGATGATAGTCATAAGTCGCAGTTTTCCATTGCATGGCCGCCTCGTTCCCCTGACCTCACGCCATGCGATTTTTGGCTCTGGGGTTATTTGAAATCTCAAGTTTATGTTGGTGGAGCATCAAATTTGTCTATTCTAAAGGACAACATAACAAGGACAGTGTGGAATATTCTTCGTGATATGTTACATACGGCTGTGGAGAACGTTGTGACGAAGCCGGTTATTTGAGACGTCTCACTGAATTGGTAATAAAATTAATAATAAACTAATTATGTATTTAGCTTTTAGTTTGGACATACCAATTGGACATTTCGCATTAGCGCTCACGCTTAAAAAAGTCCCTTTAAGAAGCTCACATCTTGTGTACCGATCAATACAAGTGAGGAGGTAAGTGTAACCATTTGAAGGAGGCAATGGGCCAACCAAGTCTAAGTGCACATGATCAAAGCGTCTTGCTGGAAGGTTAAATTGTTGAATGGGGCTGTGAGTGTGACGGGATACTTTACACCGTTGACATCTAATACATGAACGAGTCCATTCTGTGATGTCTTGATTCATTGCTGGCCAGACAAATCTGTCTGCGATCAGCTTTTTGGTGGCACGGATTCCAGGATGTGCCAAATTGTGCAAGGCATTAAACACTTCACGTCTAAAATTGACAGGAATATAGGGACGTATTCTATTGTTCTCTATGTCACAGTAAATTTTAAGCGTTGGATCAATGTGCAGCGGTTGTAACTGAAGGGAGGTTTGTGGATTTGAGATTAGGTTCTTGAGTTCCTCATCATGCAATTGAGCTTTTGCAATTTCAGAGAAATCTGGGGTAGTGAGGTTGATATTGTTTACCCGAGACAAGGCATCAGCGACACAATTATCAGTACCAGAGACATATCTGATATCTGTACTAAACTGGGCGATGAAATCCAGATGTCGAAGCTGACGAGGAGAACATGAGTCAGAGTTTTTTCTAAAAGCGAAGGTTAATGGTCGATGATCGGTGAAAATGATGAAGTCGTGTCCTTCCAAGTTGTGCCGGAAGTATTTAACAGCACAGTACACAGCAAGTAGCTCTCTGTCATATGTGCTGTATTTCCTTTCTGCAGTAGTAAGTTTTCTGGAGAAGAATGCCATTGGGGAAAGTCCTTTAGTGGTATGGGCTTGAAGCACTGCTCCTATGGCCGTGTCAGATGCATCTACCATTATAGAGAGCTGATCACTAGGTGAGTGATAAGAAAGTGTGGCTGCATTTGCCAGATCGTGTTTGCATTGCACGAATGCTGCAGATGCAGATTCAGTCCAAGGGACAGCTCGTTGATCGTTTTTTTTTTTTGCTATTCTTCAGAAACTCATGTAGGCAGGCTTGTGTTTTTTGCGGCATTTGGCAGAAAGCGTCGGTAGAAATTTAACATTGCTAGAAAACGCTTCAGTTCAGAGATGGTTTTGGGCTGAGGTAGGTCGTTAATTGCTTTGACTCTTTCCGGTAAAGGTTTGACTCCATTCTGGGTGATAAGACATCCAAGAAAGGAAACTGAGGGTTGACCAAGTACACATTTGGATGGATTTAGTTTTAATCCATGATCTTTAAGGCGAGTGAAAATCTGACGCAGATGTTGAAAATGTTCTTCCGCATCTGTAGATGCAACCAGGATATCATCAAAATATGGGATGCAGAAATCGAGGCCAGACAGTACTTGGTGTATGAAACGCTGAAATGTTTGGCCAGCATTGCGAAGGCCAAATGGCATATATAAGTACTCAAAGAGACCAAATGGTGTAGTCACTGCGGTCTTGGGCACATCTTCAGCATGCACTGGGATCTGATGATATGCTCTGGCAAGATCGAGGGTAGAAAATATGTTTGTTCCATGAAAAAGATGGGTACAGTCTTGGATATGTGGGACTGGATATCTGTCAGGGACTGTGACGGCATTAAGTCGACGATAATCTCCACAAGGCCGCCAGTCACCATTAGACTTTTTAACCATGTGAAGTGGACTGGCCCATGGACTTTTAGATGGGCGAATGGTTCCCTGTGCTAGCATGAATTCAAATTCTTTGCGAGCAGCTTTTAGCATCTCTGGAGAAAGACGACGAGGCTTGGAAAATACAGGTGGGCCATGTGTTTCAATGTGATGAATTTGTTATGGATTATTACCGATGAAACGTAATATTGTTATGTTAGAAACCTGTTGCTTTGTATAAACTTTTTTTAATCATGGTTTGTGAGAAAGTCGACACCAATGAATGGGTTGAGTTGACATCTGCCAGGAATAAAAGGCCAAGTTGAAAGTCCGAGCAACGTAGGTTAAAATTGATGGTCAAAAGTTTGGTGCCGTTAGCAGCAAAGAGTACCAATGCAGCTGGGTTTTTGGCATGCTGACTGTAACTCTTGGGAATGACAGATAAATCGGCTCCGATGTCGATTAAAAACATGAGTTCTGACGATGGATCGGCCAAAAGAATTCGATTAATGTGGCGGTCGCAATGTTGGTCGACAAGCGATCGCCGATCCAGTTTTCCGACTGCCGGAAATTGCATGGAGAAACACATTTTCGTGCTTTGGAACCAAAATTAGTATGGTAGAAACAAATATTCCTGCACGGTTCTTTATACTGTTGATAGCGTCCATTGGATCCATTACGCCTTCTGTTGCGTTGAGAATGATTGTCTCTTCGTTCACAGGAACGCTCTCGGCTGTTTTTGATGGCTAGGGAAAGTTCATTTACTTGCTTCGTCAGCTCTGCAACTTGCTGTTCAATGGAAGTGGTAGATGCCGTAGTAGCACTATTTATGTGAGAGAGTTGTGAGATCATTAATTTTATCAGCTACAACTGGGAGTTTTTGGGAGATCATCACTTAACGCAGCAAGAATACTCTGTGTATTTTGCGGGAGACGGGAAATCCAGAGAGATTTCAACAAGGGTTCTCCAATGGTCTCTCCAGCGAGGTTTCGCATACGGCAAAATAATTGTGAAGGGCGTTGATCGCCAAGTTCTAGCCCTTGAAGGACTGTGCGGATCTTTGACTCCTCACTTTCAGAATGCAATTCAGTTAAGCTTGTTTTTAGTGTATCGTATTTGCCAGTCACTGGTGGGTGTGAAACGATATCGCAAACGCTTTTGAGAATATCGGATTCGGTTGCAGATATCACATGATTGAATTTCGTGGTCAACAAGCATATTCACAAAGCCTACAGACCATTTTTGCTACTGTTTGCTCCGATTGGTTTAAACAGGAAACGTAGGGTTACAGAATCTTGTACTTGGCGACTTTTCCTTGATCGCCTATACTATTTGTATATCAGCCTTGTGTACCGAAAAGTGTGCAAAAGCTCACGACGAAACCCCAGCACAACGGTAACGAGGATAGAAAAATTTCTCGGACTTCTAGATCGCCGGTACTATCCCCGGTCGTGACCTTTCCCGAACTCTGCCCTGGCGGCAAAAATTGCAGCGGTCGTCCCCATTCCAAAACCGGGCCAAAATTTAAATTTATCCGACAATTACAGACCAATTAGTCTGCTTTCTTCACTCTGCATATGAGTATATGAATTTGTCTTACATACCAGTTACTCCGTGTAGTGGAATTCATTCACGAAGGCTTTCGTAAGGGAGAGAAAACTGAAATTGTCTATCTTGACATAGCCAAAGCCCGTTTGGCATGACGGGCTTATTTATAAGCTCATGCGACTTGGTTTTCCAGCTCACATCATTAAAATTATTAACTCGTACTTGGCCAGACGGAGTTTCCGTGTGCGAGTTAACCACGAATTCTCCTCTTCCCGCCCGATCTATGTTGGATGTCTTCAGGCAGTCTTGTCTCACCTCTGCTCTTCAATATCTATATTAATGACGTGCCTAAGGCACCTGGTATCGACCTAGCCTTATATGCGGACGATACGGCCATCCTCACTCAACATTTCAACATCACCACGGTAATCTCTACATTACAGAGTTACCTTTCAGCCTTAGAACTCTGGCTCGGACTGTATAAAATTAAAATTAATGTCGCTTAATGTGCTGCCACTTTATTCATCCGAATCAATATCCCCCGTTTCGATAACCTAATTTTCTTCGGTGAACCTATTCCCTGGGTTACTACGTATAAATATCTTGGTGTTATACTAGATTCAAAATTAACCTGGCAATCTCACATTCAAAAAATTGTTACCAATGCGAAGGCTGCCAAAGCCAGCTTGCGCCCCTTTCTCGCTAAAATTGCGACCTGTCACTTGATAACAAGATCTTGCTTTACAAATCGATAGTTAGGCCAATTGTCACTTACGCTAGTCCCATCTGGGGCTCAGCTGCTCTGACTAACAGTAAACACGTTCAAATTTTGCAATTAAAATTTTTACGGCAGATTCTTAATGTTCCATGGTTCATAAGGAACGATGGCATTCATAATGATCTCAAAATTATGCCCATCAATCGTTTTATACAGCGACTTTCGGAAAGATTCTTTAAAAACATCCATCTTGTTGGAAATCCAGTATTACATACCCTGCCGGTATACGATCCTGCGGTCGCTTCTTCAAAAAAGCGACCTAGAGCAATATTAAATTCTGATGATTCTCAATCACCATTTAAAAGGCGCCGGTATGAAAATACGGACGTGGATGCTTACTTCACATTCCTGAATCCCAATTGCCTCCGCGTTAACAGTGTATAAGGGCACTGACCGGAGGAACCCCGTGCTACAACTCTTTAAAAAGAGTCTTTTAGCGTATCTTTAACAAGGGACCACCTTATCTCACAGCCGCACGTGACTGCACTTAACTTTTAATTGATTCT